GGATCAATGTTTTGCTGCCCCTTCATGTCTTGGTATAATTATCAAAGGCAGTCTTCGTATCAGTAAGTCTTGTATTTTGAATTGCAAAAGCTTTTTTTTTTTTGTATTTAGTATTCCACTTTTGTCATGCTGGATCTTGTGCCTCTTGGGGTATTCATCATCATCAAGTTGATGGATTTCATTTTTAAATATCAATAATTCAGTTAAATTTAAGTCGGCATCACATTATTTTCTAAGTGCGTCAATTAAAAACCAAACACCTGAAGTTTAGCCTCAGATCGCTACAGATCCCTTGCAAAATTTGTGATTGGGGAGAAACATATTCATTTTTTCATAAACGATTTAAAATAATGAATATTTAATAACAAAATGTTGCACGCGCAATGTAGTTTTATGATTATGGGCATTTTGATGAAATGCTACAATTGTGTGAAAATTGTCATTTAAAAGGTATTAAATTTACATTGACCATAGCTTTAAGGTAAATTAGTGTGTACTAATGAACATATTACGTGTGTATCCGTATTGCCAATTATGGAAATTTGAAAACTAGCTTCCGCCCTTTCACAGTGTTTTTCCCTGCCCAAAGGTTTTTACAAATGCATGCTGTTACCTTTCGTGAATGATTGGTAAAATGATAACTACTGATACTGCAATGTTATCAATTCATGCATCAAGTATGTTACTTTGCCTGTGAAAGAAAAAAACAATCTGAAATTATTTTGAAGGTTTTTAACACGACAATGTACATTTTTCAGATTGAACCACATTCTCTCGCTCTCACTCTCGCTCTCTCTCGCTCTTGTTATTTAATGAAAAATGTGAAAATATTTTTGATGAAAGAAAAATTTACTTTATTATTATACTAGAAATCCACACAATTTTTTTTAATAATTTTAATTGTGCTGTAAGTTTCTCAAAATACACCTTGAAAGGGTAGTTGGGGCATCAGTAATGGTGTCATTTGTTATGAAAAATAGGCTGTTTACACAAAATTTCAATGTCCACTGTTTGGACTGATAGACAATATCCTTATTCTTTTTGGACTGGAAATATTTTATATAAGCATAATTTTGGTATGTGTTTTGTATTTGCACATTATAATAATTTCTATTACTCTATATTCCATTCTGTAAAATATTTTTTTTTCGCTGAAAAAACTTTGTTGATGAGTAAAATTTAAGGAAAAGGTATTTTTGCTGGATTTTATTTCCACTGAATCACCCTTCAGCGAAAATAAAATATTTTACAGTATTTCAAGATGTATAGTTTAGACAGATTCTATATTTATTGCTTTTACATTGTGGTTATAGAATATAGAAATGAATAATACTATGAGATGAGAATGTATTTAGTATGTACATGATAAGGCTTCAAATCATTTCATGCAGTATTTTATTCATGTGATAATATCTCAAAATGTTCGTGAACTACGTGCATCGTCATCTTTGCATCGTCACTCTAATGAGATGCGAGTTTCATCACAAAAACTTCTGCAGACGTGTGTTGAATATTGAATATTTCAGGGAAAGTTGTCTGTTTGTGTATCCATGGGGGACTAAGTAAACTGAGATAACCTCTGCTATGCCATCTGATCACTGCTTCTCACTCACTTGTTATTCCCCTAGTGGTTTGAAAAAAAAAGGACACCGGATGTTACCGCACGCAATGTGTCATTTCTCATCTATCTGAAAAACTTGTAAGAGATATCACAGACAAAATTCAAACAATGGGAGTAATTCCAACAAACAGAATGCCAAAGTTTGATCTTCATCCAATTACTTTATTTGTCCAAGTCTAAGAGGAAATTAAATGCAATGTGCGGATGTTACCGCACACATTCTGTCATTTCTCATCTATCTGGAAAACTTGTAAGAGATATCACAGACAAAATCCAAACAATGGAAATAATTCCAACAAACAGAATGCCAAAATTTGATCCAATTACTTTGTTTGTCCAAGTCAAAGATAAAATTAAATGCATTTTAAGCTGTTCAAGGATTAAGATTCACTTGATTTGTAACACAAATTAATAGCGGTCGCAAAAAAACTATATCGATGCTTCTGATCATGGTGTGCAGTAGTTAAAACATGTGAACTTCACATCATTTTTTGAAAGTTCGTTTCTGTCAGAATGGAGTTGCATCTGTAAATAGAAGTTTTGAAATTCATAAACATATATGTCCATTTTGCAGGACTAAATCACATTTTGCGATTGATGGAAACTAAATTACTGCTTGGACACGATGGATGTCTTTTTAAATTACCGTAAAATCTGTATTAGAAGCCGCATCCCTAATAAAAGTCGCACCCATTCTTTTTCAATAATTGAGAACCAAAAATTCATCATTTCTCATATGTGTAGGTGCTCTAATAGAAGCCACATCCCCTCTATTGCATTGTACCATTTTAATAGAAGCCGCGGTTTCTAATACAGATTTTACAGTACTTACTACCTGGTTCCTCATCTACGTCATACAGTCTCTTGGTTTGATTGCCTTTTATGATTATTGAGGAAATTACTGAACGTTGTTTTAACAAGATAACTGTACATTAGAATACCAAGATGCCCCTCAGTTAATTTTATTCTGTACCATCTCTGATTTTGTATTCATAGAATACTGAGAAAGCATTTCCTTCAATTTAACGTCGTGGTTATACATGGAATATATTTGGGTAACATTTACATAAACTATTTGGCTCTTCTATTGAGTCAAATGAGGAGATAAAATGGTAATGTTTGATCCAACAAACTAAAAATAACCTGCCAATATCTAAGTCAAGGCACGTCATATTTAAAGCAATTAAATATTGATTAAAACTATTATTGCCCTGCTTTAAAATAGTTATCAGATAGTCAGTTCCACTGTCTGGTCTAAAATTAATTCTCAATAAGGGAGAATTTACTAAGTGTTCTGTCTTGTTTGTTCATGGCTTGTATGAACAGAATTTGGCTGTGTCTGAAGCAATTTAAAAAAAACAACTCGTAATTTTCTTTTCAGTGACACCTTGAATAATATGTACTACACTTCCCATCTATGTTTGGAACAAAAAATCCATTTGTTTAATTACCAGAAAAGGAAACGAAAATTGTATAAATACAACTTTTAATAAAAAGTGCATCAGTTTCAATTCAAGACAAAGTGACTTGTTTCTCTAATGTATATTCAATCTGATTAAAATCTGATGTAGTGTACGGGCTTTAATTATTGTGGCTATAAACTTATTTTAATTTTATTTTTTTATTACTTTTGTTATTAATGCCGTTTTATTTTATTATTTTACTTTGATTTTGATTTTGTGATTTTTTTTTAATTCTGCCCTACCTACATCTGATCCGACGCCTATGTAAGTCCCGTTCAAATCTCGCATAAGTAACAGCCAATCACAGCCCCCCTTTTATACAGGCTGTCGGTTGCTTACTCTTCAGTGTAGCGATACTCTACGGGCAATCTTTCTGTACATTATATTGTGCCCACTTGAATAAACCATTAATAGAAAATTGCTAGTATATTTTTATTTGCAAAAGAAATTCCACAGCATTTTACAATTTTTGTCATTACATTGAATATTTTTTTCACTTCCAACAAATGTGTACACTTCCAGATACATCTTCGCCAACC